CTCTACCCAGTCTTCTATAGCGCGCTCGCAGTGATACACAATCAGCGGCACTTCGCTAAGTTAATTGCTGTACGCTAAGCTCCCGGAGATGGTCTGAAGTAGCAATTACGGTGTCCAAGGCGACTTCCATGGCTTAATTCAGCATCGAGATGGCAAGGGATATTGCGGAAGGCCCTGCAGCCTGTAAGCTGTAAGGGCTGCATGGGCTGCAGATGTGGCAACTGGTGCATAAACTTTGTTACTGCCTGGCATTTGTCTGCTATTGCAGGCGTAATATCAAGCATTGTCTTACGGTGTGTGACTTTATTTTTGAGAGAATGACGCAGACTGTACAAATGAGGGCTGTCTTGCAATACCAATAGTTTTATGCATGCTTTTGATGAGATGATTTCATTGGTACGATTATGCAACGCTAAGCACGTCCGTGAACATGACAAAGGTCTTAATGTGAGACATTGGAGAGTAATAGCAGTTTTAACATTTCCCCTTGCTTGTCCTGGAAATGGTAGCAGTTTAATTGAACAATAAACACTACCTTCTGCTTCGTTAATAGAAAGCATGCTGAACTCCGGGGATTATCGTAAAGTTACGCTGAATGGCCCTTGTTAAGCGGGGATATCATATCAAACTGGTGGCCCATTTATAATCTCAAGAGCTGTTGTGCGTACTTATGGTGAAGAGCGACGGTGCGTGGGTGGGGTCGACCGTACACCGATTTTTCAAGGTGGCTGAACCAGCAATAGGATCTGCACGCGCACTTGCGCAAAACGAGAGCTCAGTCTGTCGCCCATCCCTGTAGCTCCGCTGGTTAGAGCGCCAGCCGTTGTATTCATCCGCGGCGGAGCAGCGGTGCAGGCAGAACCTTAGGAAGGGGGGTGGGGCGGGGAGGGCACAAGGTCGACAAAAGGCCTCCTAATGAAAGAGCCTCCTCCTTGCAAAAAATAATCGGACACAGCCCACTTGAATTTGAGGGGATACAATTTTCTTGATTTGATTTATATTTGTAGCTTTTTTACTTGAACAGACGCCAGAAACTAGGGAAGATGAATGTATGTTCTTATCTTTATGTTAGTAAACTGAAGAGCGCGGGCATCACATCGTTGCATGGAATATGTCGCTGATTCAATTCATTTTACGGCAGTCCAGCCGGGTCTTTTTAAACTACTAGAACTCAGAAGCTTTGCCAGAACCTGATCTGGGTTTTACAAATACATCGAGAACCACGTGAACGTAGATTGTAAATCAGAATGTGGTGATCGATTGTGTTAAGATAGAAATCACTGTCCTTGCTCCCGAGACTGCGAGCGCAGAACCTCAAACTTTATTCATGTAATTCGTTTCGCGAGTATATTCTGCAAAAGCGTGGGCTTTCTCAGGCAAAGATTGCTGCTTTTTAAAGATATGAACTCATTTCGATGCACTCTTTTTTAAACTAATGGGACCTCTTACATTTTTTCGGGCAAGTGCCGCATGGGTAGTACACTAGGGGCCATATTATTGTTCCTGGCCAAATGGAGAAGGGTCATTCCGTCCCATCGCAGGTTGCCTGCTGTCTGCCATTCTGGCGGCACGCACACGGTGAGGGTTATCTGGTCGTCTGAAGGCCCTTAAGGGGATACATCATAATGTGATTCTTTACCTGATGTGGAGGTCCCCTGACTCGGGCAGCTAACTCCAGATCGACGCAGGAGCCTTCATTGTCGTAGCAGGATTTCCTATTGCTGCAATGGGTCCAATAATTGACACGGATACTCCACTTCGGCCGTTCGCTGAGATGGAACGGAGGGGACCCGTTCCGTACTGGGGCTTTAACTTACGCAGGGCCCTTCTATTGCCTCATTATGGGCTCCCACCATAAGCTCCCATATCTCTTTTCATTGGCAGCGGGCCCAGACCAACGCAAGAGGTCCAACGGCGTTCAGGGTCCCGTCTCTGTCCCTTCTCAACAAATGTTCCTCTAACCGACTCAGAGTTCTTTGGCGGCAGAGAGACCCCTGTTAGGCTCTGTGGGGCCTTGACCGACACAGGGGCTTCTCATTGCTGCAGGGGCCCCAGCCGGTGCAAATCGCGGGTCCCGGCCTCGTCGCTGTTTGGCAGAGCCCCAGGGCTCAGACAGACACGGAGCCCAACGCTTGACGTTGAAGGTCCCTGGCCGGAATAGGGGCCCGCATTATCCCAGGGGTTGTTCATTCGGTGCAAGAGGCCCTCTGACTGTGACTTGAGGTCATGGCCCACGGGCTGGCATCCTCAGCGTGATTTACAGCCAGCCATTCGGGCTCTTCAGCCTTCCAATCAGATCCTCGATGATCGGTTTCGATCGAACACTCCCCCGGGCCGGCAACCAGGGTCCCCTCACTAACACAGGACCCCTGAGAGGCACTGTGACCGACAACGGGTGCGGGGCTCGGTGACTCAGGGACCCCGCCCAATGTAAATCGCGGCTTTGTGTCTCCTCGGCAAATGGGCCCTCAGGCCCAGACCGACACGAAGCCGACTGTTCGGAACCGTGATGTCCGACCAATAGAGGCCCTCGTCGACCTAGAGCATCCAATCAGCGCAAAAGGCCAGCTCTGACTGATAGTTTTCCTTTAGAGCCCCTTTAGGGCCCCTTCCAGCAGGGCCCCTTCAGGTGACCTCTTGGCTGTCCTTCGAGACCTTGAGATCCTCAAATCAGCCCCAAATCGCGTCCGTTACCTTAATCCCGGGGCCTAACAATGCCTCAGGACCTAAGGGCGGGAGGGGGAGGAGCATACCCTGTGCCTTTTCCCCCTGTCTGCGCTATTGCAGCGGAGTGGGTTATGATCACCTCAGGTCCTCGCCACTCGCCCCTGACTGGGATGGTCTACGGCCGCCTGCAAGGGTGGCCTGCGGCCGGTGGCAGTGGCTGTTAAAGGTCAGGTGACCTCAGAGGGCAGGACAGACCATGCCGAACATTACGGCACGGTAAACTTTCGCCGCCCACTTCTGTCATTACCGTGAGATTTCAGGCGAGGTGGTGGAGTCAATCCTCACGCGACAAACATTGATGGTATAGACTCTTATCTAAGAGATCCATGCAGTCAAACGGCTCGGACTAAAGGTTCAAAATAGCGTTATAGGTTCTAATTTCACAACTAGAAGCCATTTGATGAAGGAGAGTTGGCTCTTCGACGTCGACGTATAGGTCACAGCTGGCATACATACACATATAGATCATAGCTGCATGCATACACTCCTCGACGTCGACGTATTGGTCACAGCTGGCATACATACACATGTAAATGAGAGCTGCATACATACACTCCTCGACGTCGACGTATTGGTCACAGCTGGCATACATACACATGTAGATGGGAGTTGCATACATACACTCCTCAACGTCGACGTATTGGTCACAGCTGGCATACATACACATGTAGATGGGAGCTGCATACATGCACTCCTCGACGTCGACGTATTGGTCACAGCCGGCATACATACACATGTAGATGGGAGCTGCATACATGCACTCCTCGACGTCGACGTATTGGTCACAGCTGGCATACATACACATATAGATCATAGCTGCATGCATACACTCCTCAACGTCGACGTATAGGTCACAGCTGGCATACACACACACGTAGATGAGAGTTGCATACATACACTCCTCGACGTCGACGTATTGGTCACAGCTGGCATACATACACATGTAGATGGGAGTTGCATACATACACTCCTCAACGTCGACGTATAGGTCACAGCTGGCATACACACACACGTAGATGAGAGTTGCATACATACACTCCTCGACGTCGACGTATTGGTCACAGCTGGCATACATACACATGTAGATGAGAGCTGCATACATGCACTCCTCAACGTCGACGTATTGGTCACAGCTGGCATACATACACATGTAAATGAGAGCTGCATACATACACTCCTCAATGTCGACGTATTGGTCACAGCTGGCATACATACACATGTAGATGAGAGCTGCATACATGCACTCCTCGACGTCGACGTATAGGTCACAGCTGGCATACATACACATGTAGATGAGAGCTGCATACATACACTCCTCAATGTCGACGTATTGGTCACAGCTGGCATACACACACACGTAGATGAGAGCTGCATACAAACACCCCTCGACCTCGACGTATAGGTCACAGCTGGCATACATACACATGTAGATGAGAGCTGCATACATGCACTCCTCGACGTCGACGTATAGGTCACAGCTGGCATACATACACATGTAGATGAGAGCTGCATACATACACTCCTCGACGTCGACGTGTTGGTCACAGCTGGCATACACACACACGTAGATGAGAGCTGCATACATACACTCCTCGACGTCGACGTATAGGTCACAGCTGGCATACATACACATGTAGATGAGAGCTGCATACATACGCTCCTCGACGTCGACGTATTGGTCACAGCCGGCATACATACACATGTAGATGAGAGCTGCATACATACACTCCTCGACGTCGACGTGTTGGTCACAGCTGGCACACACACACACACACACACACATGCGTTCCTGACGTAATAATGCTTCGACGTACAAATACTTGCAAAACGGGTTCAAAGCCAATGCTAAGCTTCAAAACGAATTGTCGTCATTAGTGCATGCAGACACAAAAAAGAAAACAACAATGGATGGGTCTCCATTCGATCCAATCGCTGTCGGGGAGGCAAATCACCGCCGACTGCCACTCACAGTACATGCCTATATGTGACGTCACCACGGGCCTGACCACTCACAGTGCATGCCTATATGTGACGTCACCACGGGCCTGACCACTCACAGTACACGCCTATATGTGACGTCACCACGGGCCTGACCACCCCCAGCACAAGTCGATATGTGACGTCATCACAGACTGTCACTCGCGGTACATGTCGATATGTGACGTCACCGCGAGCCGACCACTCACAAAAAAACGTCAATATGTGACGTGGTCATGGGCCGGGCCATTCAGTACATGTCGGTGTGTGACGTCATCACTAGCCGGACCACTCACAGTACATGTCGAGGACGACCTGGGTGGTAACCGGTCGACTGATGTTGTTGTTGGTCGCCGAGCAGACCAGCCGGGTGTGCAGGTCCTCGCGACCCAGAGGAGGCAGCCGCAGCACGTTGATGACCCGCCCTGACCCGTCCGGTCCGTCCGAGTCGTCCAATAGGCGGTCGTCACGGGACCACGTGACCCGCGGGGCCGGGTAGCCTGAGAACGAAAGACAGCATTTGTCGACGCCAAACTGGGGAACTCCTATAACATGTCAACTCAGGGCGGCGGGGGGGGGGGGGGGACAAGTGCCGTCCTCATACAACCTCTCCAAGTGAGATGGGGATCCCCTGCAGTCAAAGGGCACGTCAAGGTGAAACGGTACGAAACTTATCGACAGCGTTTGCAACATAAAATGCTAGCTATCAAGTTTTTCTTCATTGCCACCAAAGGAGGCCTTTTCAGCCCCGTCCTGATGGCATAACGACGACCTATTGTCTGCGTGGCAGCTGAACTGCTGTCATGCAAACAAGGGCTCTGCTCCATGCCATGCTTCCATGAGTTATCTTGCACCTTTTCGTCTGATTTGTCCCTGACTGAAATGCATGACTGCGACAAAACTGGGGCTCTGGATTACCACGAATACTCGGGATGTCTGCAGCTAGGCTGCAATTGGTTAGCTATAAGCCCAGTTGGAAAGGTTAATGACTCACGTGGGTAGTTTAATCTTAGCTTTTTTGGACGGAATTTTGCTGTTTAACGTGACCATGTTGATAATCACAATTTCTTCTGAAATTCCCACGCATTTCCAGCTAGGAAATTTGATTGGTAGTGCGCTGTTCAAAAAATGTGGTGTACCGGACCAATTTTCAGACACGAGCTTTGCTTTGTTTTGCTTGCTTTGAACTGAAAACAAACACGTATCAGGCTACAAGCAGTGGCGGGGGCTTGTGTTTGCTAAACATCGCGCGCCCTCACACGGTAAATGCACACACGGGACGTGGTCATGTGAGGCTCCGGTTTAGTCCTGGGATAGCCGGCTGGAATCGGTCAATGGCGGGATGCGTCTTATTGCTGATAGCACATGGGTGCCGGACCGTCATACGACGCCCCGCGGCACCGTTCAAACGGCATCAAATTAAGCTCGCAAGATATTCGCATGCCCTTGGCGTGTCAAAATATTCTCATATATATATATATATATATATATATATATATATATATATATATATATATATATATACTTCCATTACACCCTCTGCTGGTTTGCCTGTCTAGTCTTTATTTTGGCTGTTTTTGAATACTGTGAAAAGAATGATAAGCCATTGGTCTGACATCAAGCACAGAACCTCGCATAGATGTGGCAATCCGGGGACTTCGTTCATCGTGAGCAGTTCTCTACAAGCTTTCTTAGGAGCGGTCCAAATAAACAAACACCTTGGAGAAGTCTAGTGCTGTGTTTAAGTTTGTTTTTAAGTGAAGAACTTTGCTCTGATTTTAATCAGTCCAGAGGCGTGCATAAATGTTTGAAGAGGGAGACGCGTAGAAAAGTCAGCGCACTACCTCATAGAGGCCACACAGATACACGCTGGATGGAGACTTATGCCGTCGAGGTGCCCTCAAGAAAACGAAAGTGAAATCTGCATGTTGCATTTCTCCTCGTAACTCTGTTTGCAGGATGCATTCAAGGCCTATCAAAGAGCAAATTAAATCACATGTGATTGGAAGATAGCTGCCGGAAATATCCACAATTCAAAAACACGCATGTTGGGTGACCGTTGAGCTGGCGTGCGCGGCCTCTCGTTCCGCCTCGTACGTTGTGCGCGGTCCTCGTCCGCTCGACGACAACGCTTTACTCAAGGAATGCACGATATATCTCGTCAGCTGCCAGCCCCACCACACAGCGACGCGATAGATGTCCGAAGACATGGCTCCCCGGACACATGGCCTAGAGTCACGGCTGCCGCCACACTGTGGGGCGTCGCTGTCTGGACAGTGTGCTATCCAAGCCGCCATCGGTGACGGCTCAGCAAACCAAACAGGCGTGCTACGTGATAAGGAATGTGAACGTCCTACAACGGCACTTGTACCGAGGGAGCTGATATGCGGCATTAGCTCATGTTTGGTTCTTGGTGGCCAAAGGTGGCCAAAACAGAGACAATGACATTATCACAGCAGATATTGTTACATTTGTCTTCTGACCAAATCATGTATTGACAAAACTTATATTCGTCCGAAGAGAGGCTCAGGGACCTAACAGATTGCTGTATTTGCTTTCTGCAGACCATTCATTGAAAACTTATTATTTGGCCGAAGAGAGGCTCAGATGCCATTTAACCCAGGCTGCTGTCAGTGGTGTTTATGCTATGTCTATATCTGAACATTCGCACGTGCTCGGGTGGGAGTGGGGGTCAAATTGACCCCCCCCCCCGGAGGTTTTTCCAGAATGGCTTCCGAACGGTGCGGTGTGGCCACGCCAAATTTTGCATAGCTGTAGACCATTAAATGGCAGATCGTTTGGATTAAAAATTGGGATGTATCGTGTAAGGTCGTTGACCTATGGCAGGTCAAAGTCATGTCACGGTTGCAGCGAGGTCAACTTCCAGAAAATCCTTCAATCTGATCCAACCACGGAGTGTTAGACAAAGCCATACATCTCTGAGATGCTTTCTTAGGCAACACAACATTTGAGTGAGCATATTACATTGACCTAAAGTCAGGAATAAAGGTCACACCAAGGCCAAAACCAACCTCTTTTATTACTCTAGGGCCTGGTGTATGGGATAGTTTCTGGTGCTCATTTTTAATTTATTGATAGCAGGAACCGCGTTACACATCATCCATGGACTTCTTAGAAGTCACAATAGGTCATTGACCTAAACTGACCCAGGTCAACGTTTAGTTTTAGGAACATACTGCCTAGCGTAATCTTTGCGCTTAGTCAAATGCAAAACTCAGAGCAATCTTGCATTATTTTGGTCACCTTGACCCTCAAAAAGTCAAACAAGGTCACTGACCTCAAATGAGAATGTGAACTTTTGCTTGGAAACGGTTATCTAGGCTCTGGGGGCACTTTGGAGACCAACTTGGAACTTGGCCTTGTTTGACCTTATTTGACCCAAAGATCATGGCATAGGAACCTGGTACTTTGACCGAAGTCACGTACAGTTCAACACACCCTGTAAATGTGGTGTCTCTAGCTTTCTTAGTTCCTGAGATCTCAGGGGGGTAAATTGCCCCCCCCCCCCCACCCAAGCGAAGGGTAACTAGCTGGCCACCTGGGCGCGTGTTAATGAACATAGATAAGACAGTAGTATTAGCATTATTCCTCGGAAAAAACCAGGAGAATAAACATATAGTTAGGTTGCTGTTTCGGGCAACATGCCCTTCTCGAAACAATAGCAAAATTTATATTGGCTTCTGCTATTGTTTTGAGAAAGGCACGTTGCCGCAATATCAACCAACTATATCTCTATAAGACTTTCAGTCAGGTTAGTGCATCTCTGCAAAAAGTCGGAGCCGGGTCTTTCAAAGCAGGTGCAGTCAAGCACATAAAAACTGTCACGGTGACGTTGCCTGACAGTGCAGTGGGACATTTGCTGTCCCGGGGTATCTTTCAGCAATGACCGGGGGCGCCTAGCTGTGTGCGGCCGCGCCCAGTAATGCGCACTGAATGGCGCCAGCCTACGGCACAGGACCCCGTAGGCCGTTATAGCCCCGCAAGCCATTAACAGCCTATTGACTCGGCTTGCATTGTTCCCAGGGGCACCCGTCCCCTTCTGAGACAGGAATCTGAATATCGCTCGAGCATTAGAACAGCATTTTTAGTTGGGGTCATCGACCCCAAATCGCGGTCGAACACTACGCACAAGTCCTGATTAAAAACAACGGCGATTCTCGGGTCTTCCGGGACACCATTCATTTTCAAAATATTTCTATAACACTTCATCCACACACTGCTCGCCTCAGACGCTGGGGTGTGTGGCTTCTTGCGGCTAGCCACTGTGGCACATCCTGATCGGTCTGGCTGTTTACCAAGGACCACCACGGTTTCAATGCTAAATTTTCCAAATAAACCAAGGTAAGCCAAAGGTCACAACAGGAGAGCCCACATGGCTATAGACGAACAGTGTACGACCATTACAAAAGCGCATTATGCTAACATAGGGTATTTGGAGCAAGCAACAAAATGCAGCATTTGAGATTGATTGTTGGTGACTGATAGAAACAGTGGCTCGCTGTTTAAAAGAGCCCTTACAATTTGAGCGGGCCTGGCAGGCAATTTTAAAGCTACTCATGATACTCGTTTCATTAGAAGCATGCAGCCGAAATGTCAATGCACCGATCTCTACTTTCTCCTAGTTATGTTAAAATAAATAAGGCTAACAGTGCTGTCCTATCTAAAGTTGATGTAATTTCTATTCCGTATAGGAAAACAACTCACACGTCGTCATGCAGTGGAAGACAGTGCCAACCACAATACTTGGTTTCAAAGGTAGCAGCTTGAAGCATGAAGTCCTCCTCCTTGGTCTACATAGAGGAATACGTGTGCCCTGTATTCAAGAGGCACTGGGTACGAGTAGTAACAGGCCCGTTATATTCGGCCAGAAAGACACGCCTGGGAGCCGGGGCAAGCTTCGCCATCACTATCCCACGCTCCGTGAAAGCGTAATATTAACCCGGTACAGTGCATGATAACAGTTGGCTTCAAATCGGTTTGGAACTACATACTCTTTGGTATAAGCTTACGCCCATCAAACGTCATGGGAAGATGAGCTGGAGATTTTCGTCAAGAGCTTGGAGCCAACGTAGTGCGTTGCATTGTTCTCCAAAAAATCAGATCCCTCCATTGACTCGTTGGGCTACAAATACCAAAGGTAAATTAGGCGATTAACTACAACGGCACATTTTGGGGTAACAGCTTCAGATGGCAGACAAACGCTTTGATTAACACGCGCTCGGGTGGGAAAGGGTCAAATTGCCTCCCCCCCTTCAAAAGTTTTTCCAGAATGGATTCCGAACGGCGCGGCATAGCCGCGCCAAATTTTGCATCGCTGTGGACGATTGAACGGCGGATCGTTTGCCATACAAATCTAGATGTACCATGTAAGGTCGCTGACCTATAGTAGATCAAAGTCAGGCCAAAGTTTCAGCGAAGTCAGTTTCTAGGGAATCTTTCAATCTGATGCAATAACGGAGTGTTAGACGAAGGCATACATATCTGAGATGCTTTCTTAGGCAACACAACAGCTGAATGAGCAAATTAAATTGACCTAAGGTCAGGTATGAAGGTCAGACCAAGGTAAAAACAACCTGTTTTATTACTCTAGTGTTTATTTTATGGGAAAGTTTCTGGTGCTCATTTTGAATTTATTGACAGCAGGAAACGTATCACGCTTCTTCCATAGACTTCTAAGAGGTCAGAAAAGGTCATTGGTCTAAAATGATCCAGGTCAGCATTTTGTTTTTAGGAACATACTGCCCACCTTAATCTTGGTCGCTTATTCAAATGCAAACTCCGGGCAATCGTCTATGATTTTTGTCACTATGACCTTCAAATGGTCAAACAAGGTCACTGACCTTAAATGAGCGTGTGCAGTTTTGCTTAGAAACGGTTATCTAGGCTCTGGGGGCACTTTGGAGACCAACCTGGAATTTGACCATGTTTGACCTGATTTGACCCAAATGTCGTGACCTAAAGAACCTGAAACTTTGACCTAAGTGAGTTCCCGTACAGGCCAATACACCCCGTAAATTTGGTGTCATTAGCTTCCTTAATTTCTGAAATCTTGGGGGTCAAATTGACCCCCCAAGCGAAGGGTATCCAGCCGGCCGCCCGGACGCGTGTTAACAAATCAAGGCGATTCGTGCTAACCATTCGGAACGGGTAGACAAAAATCGTCGTCTCTTGCTCATCAAGGCCTTAGTAATGCTGTACCATGTTCTTTTTGTGCAAAAACATGGCCAATGAAGCAAAGCGACACACCTAAAGATGGTCTGGAAAATATCTCGGCGCATGCATAATCATCCAATCCATACACTTAAAGCTTCTATGCAGAAGACAACCACAAAGTCCATGCTGTGCGGCCGTAGCAAAACGCTGTAGCTTTGGATGACAGCTGGCTTTCGGCGTCCCTGCACCCATGCTGACCATGCTGAGCGCCGGTACTCATCCCCAGCTTCGGATGACAGCTGGCCCCCCGCGTCCCTGTACCCATGCTGACCATGCTGAGCGCCGGTACTGAACCCCAGCTTCGCATGTCAGCAGGCCTCTGGCGTCCCTACGTCCGGCTCACTTACCACCGTGCGAGAGGCAAGTGACTTCGAGAGGCTCGCCCTCCGCCAGGGGGCCAATCTTGCCGGACACGGGCCGACCGCGGAAGGTCACCACTGGCGGGCTGGGCGGAACTGGGGGCGACGGAGCACACACTCAGACTTTCCGCGAACAGTGTCGCCAACACGCTGCTGCCACACTTGCAGCTGGTGAATATGTTAGAATATCAGCAAAGCTTGCACCTCTTTGGGAATAGATGACGTTTTGTAGCATCTATTTTCATACTTACAAAACAAATCTTTTCATCCATCGAATAAATTTGTGGATAGCAAAACTGTCCATTCATTGGATTGCGTTACTGAAATAAATCTGATGCATTATGTGAGGGAAGCACAACAGAGGTATTCATCATACCAATGTGCACCCCTCACCTGCGCGGCAGCATGATAACGCAGCCCACTGTAAGATTGACTGCAGCAGCGTTGGCAGCACGACAAACGTGTGCTTAAAGTCATCCCATACCCAATGATGGCATCTGAACATCTGAGCGTGTGACCGTTGATGCCATCTGAACTGCGATCTCAATACCCTGGATCGAATCCCAGCAATTCCAAAGGAGAAAGCCTAGGTTGTGGCGAATGCATCGCTGATGCCAAACATCATCCAGGCCTCCTCCGGAATCAGTAACGCCTGACGACGGCCGAAGAGTTAACTGACCGAACCATTGATTACATACAAGCACACCAGACGTGGACGACACTCACTACTTCGAAACTACTCTATCCATGGTACTCCGAACAACTATGCTGTCCGTGATACTCCGAACAACTACTCTGCCCGTGATACTCCGAACAACTACTCTGTCCATGATACTCCGAACAGCTACTCTGTCCGTGATACTCCGAACAACTACTCTGTCCGTGATACTCCGAACAACTGCTCTGTCCGTGATACTCCAAACAACTACTCTGTCCATGATACTCCGAACGACTACTCTGTCCGTAATACTCCGAACAACTACTCTGTCCGTGATACTCCGAACAACTACTCTGTCCGCGATACTCCGAACAACTACTCTGTCCGTGATACTCCGAACAACTACTCTGTCCGTGATACTCCGAACAACTACTCTGTCCGTGATACTCCGAACAACCACTCTGTCCGTGATACTCTGAACATCTGCTCTGTCCGTGATACTCCGAACAACCACTCTGTCCGTGATACTCCGAACATCTGCTCTGTCCGTGATGCTCCGAACAACTGCTCTGTCCGTGATACGCACTGCCCGCTGAGCCCCGCACCACCCAGAGCTCTGTCGCGGGCCGGCACTCACTGATGACTGTTAGCCGAACCCGCTGGTTGCGGGTCGGACTGAGCTGGAAGTCGACCCGGCAGCGGTAGAGGGCGGCGTCCTCAGGCCGCACCGTGGCCAGACGCAGCGCCGGTCGGCTGGCGTCGCCCACGAACGTGGCGCGCACGCTGAGGGTGCGGTCCGACATGGCCGAGCCGTCCGAGAAGGAGCGGCCGCCGCGCGCGTCGAAACTGCCGCAGGCGGCCAGGTCACGCTCAGGCTGAACGATGCGACGATGGACAACATAACGAAAGCGTTCCCAGTGTCACGCCCACGTGGATTCAATCTCATAGAGTAATCGTAGAAAGTTATGCCCGTTTTTTAGAAATGTCTTAATGTTGCATACACGTTTGGTGACATTCACATGCCAGGCTAGTAAATCAGGCCTTGGGCACATAATTGCATTGGATGTATATATATATATATATATATATATATATATATATATATATATATATAACTATGTATGTATATAATAGTTTACAACATACTTCGAATGAACCATGCCAGTATGGCACTTAAGAGTGTGTAGCCACAACTTCATCAAAGTCATGTTCTGAAACATGACCACAGTCATGTTTGATGACTAACGAGTTTTCAGAATGCGTCAACTACCTTAGTTATTTCCGCCTGAACACAGTCCGTGACATCGAGGCGTAAACTAACATCGGCACTGTTCACAATTACATATCAGTAAAACCTGAGTCTGAAGGACATTTGATCAGTCTATTCAATATATATATATATATATATATATATATATATATATATATATATATATATATATATATATATATATATATACATATTTACATATATATATATATATAAATTTATATACTGCATATACCTCAAAAACCATACTGCGTTCCGGGATAACCGGCGCCGCAAAGACGTTACAGCTGCAGTTCACCTGTACGTCGGCGTGCCCTCGCTGTCTCTGTACCAGAGTACGAGCACCGGCTGGTCCCCCGGCTCCGTGGTGCTGATGTCACAGGGGAGGTCGACGCGGCGGCCCGACACGCCCACCACCTGCGTCACACGACCTGCAACAGCAAAACGCTCCGGTCAAGGCGGCGAAGTCGTGGCCAGCCTCTGTCAGGAAAGATCAGGATCGATGCTGTGCCGCAGAGAGCGACGATCCGGCGGGACGGCCTACCAGGCCAGGAACACCTCACGAGGTGCCCGCTGCTCGACGGCTGTTTCCGACAGATTGCTGAATGGTGTCCTACCTTTGGGGCATATTTAAAAAAGACATACTTTCGTGAAACTTCAGGATTAGTTAGTCTAATGATAGCACTTGATGGTGTCACTGCAGCATCGCCAATACATAGAACAATACAATTTTCATTATTTCCAAGTCCAAATAACGCTGCCAATGCTTTGTAACAACATTGCACTTCTTACTGTTATCAGCTGTTGCGAATTAGAGGTGCCACTTTTGAGCCATTTTAACCCGTACATTGCGGACCTGCGGGACTAAAAGTGACACCACTCCTGATATGAATGTCGTCAGTATAAATGAGCGCTTGTGATTGGCACAGCGGGCGGCAAGGGCCGGTCACCGATAAATTTACCGCATTAGTTGAATTTTGAACCAGTGCGTCACTTAAAGACCATGTGAGACTCCATTTCCCCATATCCAAAACGAACTTCAAAAAGAGCTCTTGTGGTAAATGCCAAAGTGAAGAAATCAAAGCCGTAGTCAAACGTTTCGTGACGGGATAATAGCCGCATGTTTGCAAATCTGTTTCTTTAAATGGGGTGCCCCAAGCTTTTGAAGCATTTCCTACGCAAGAATTTTGACAAATTAGAATGTTGCAAACATGCCAGGGGATACACGTTGAAAAACAAAACAGATTCAAAATATGTCTTTCCTAGTGGTGAGCAGGGAGTTCATTGATATTTTAGCGCAGAAGCGACTACTTAAGGTCGAAATTCTGAGCTGTTCGGAATGATTTTGAGAAAACTGGTATTGCCGATCGTAAAGGACACGTCTGATATAGCAATGAGTGACAATCACAAAAAGTGGCATACTTTCTTTAAGGTGGAGTACCATCGAACCTGTGTTAACGCGCTTCCACGGTCTCTTCCACTTCGTGCATCATCGCTTCTCTGTAAAAATCCACTTCGATGTTGTCACCAATAACGAATCAACACACGGTTTCACAAACACACACTCTGTGGCGGTACTCATCGACAAATATACGCATTCGCCTCCCAGCCGAACTTTTAAAAAGCTCAGTTGCAACGGAGACATCAGGTCAAGACAAATAGTTCAGTTAAGTTCGGATCAGAAAGCACTGAATTCTAATGGAACGAATCTAATTGGGGTTGGTTACCAGACGGATAAATCGGCGGCTGATGAAAGCGATGTCATATACCAGGGGAAGTACAGCCTGGACTTCAGGCAACAAAGAACCATTGGACAATTGCAGTACATTGCGTACACATTGGATTATCGCATGCAAACTGGACGAATACCATCAACTCGGGAAGATGGGGGAGGACAAAGTCCCTGACGACAAGGCAGATGTGCTGTGTCAGGTTTCTTGTTTGGCGGAATTGTGATGATCTTGTCACGCGTTGAGGAAGCCGAGACAAACATACGGAGGCCAATGTAGCTTCGAAGGAATGTAAAGCTCAACATATCATAGCTTGAAAGAGGGATCGTCCCTTCTCTTCAACGTTGCGTTCCATAAGTCGCGCATGACGCCGAGATTCCGGGCCGAACAAAACCAAGCTTTACCCAATGGACCTGTCGGATACCCATAGGCCGTCGTGCAGATTTTGGGGTATCTTCAGGGCACAGGACAATTCCTGCTTTCTCTCACCAATAACTGCTCTATCGAAACATCAGATTCATGTTAGCCCGGTTGATATAAGTGCCTTCATTGCTGATGAGCCCCGGTTTGCAGAGCTGTCGCCCTCATTCACATACCTAACGGCAGTGAACAGTTAACCAGCCAAAAGTTGCACTGTTGCCAAAGCCCTGATATCCCACCAACTTTCTTCATGCAATCCTCTAACGCTCTTTTTCGCTACTCGTTACAGCGGGTACGCCAATCATCAATATTGTGTGTGGGCGTGCTGGCTGGTGTTACACATACACACATGAGTTACGGCTCGGCTCGATCCGACGCTACGACAGAGGCAACTAGCAAAACATTTTGAATGCAAAACTAATGAAGAGTCCTACGCCCGGCTAAAGAGACACCCGTTTTTTAGATCACGTAAGCTCAAGGTCATATCTATCAAATCGTAAACTTGCACACAACAATGAACTTTACGAAAAAACACATCGGACGTGACATACAGACTAGACGACAGCTATCAGACAAGCGAGCAGAATGCATTTATCGGATTGGAAACAGATCCGCCTGGCAATAAGAAAACAACGTGCTTTAAAATCTGTAAAGATCAGTTAACGTTGATGTTCTTACGTGATTCGCCATGCAAGAGAGGTTAAAACGACCTGTTTGTTGGCAGTGACAAGCCCTCCTGTAATTCACTTTGCTGCTGCGACGGATGAAACAAAGTAGCGACGGCTGCTTGTTGCGTCGGTCATCGTTGTGTGGAGCTGACTCAGCTGCGAGCGCCGGACGTCAGGTCAGAACCAACAGTGACCTCAGCGCCGACAGGCCTGATTATTCAACTGCCGTGCTCTCCAGCCGTCAGCCGCTGACACGTCAAAAGCGGCCCGCCTTTCCCGCGCCTCTCATAAGCAGCCGACTGCCACGCTTCCGCCGAGAACAAAGGCAGACGGCGCCGCCGGAGGCCGTCACGTCCTAGACGCCTTCAGCTGACGCGGCTGCGCCCAGCGCAATACAACCCCCGACCGACCCGGAAGCCGCGGCCACCGCCGCGTGCACGTGCGGCCCCAGCGGAACGTGCCTAGGGCGGAGCACCGGCCGGTCGGCCGCGCGGCGACAGCGGCGCGCGTGGGCGCCACCGGCGGCGCGGCTGTGACGCCCCGCGGCGTGACGTAGCCCGGCCTATCCGGTGCCGGAATATTGCCGCCGGACACGCCGCCATTCGGCGAATCTCTCAGCCCGAATCAAATATAGGACAGCGGAGCAAATATTGGCTCGAATGCGGTAAAGCATCGAATTAACGTGTGGGCGGACGGGGTTGTATGAACGGTGCTGACGTTTGAATGCTGCGAGGACGGAGCTTTGTTGATTCGATGAAGAGCACATTCATTATCTTCGAATTCGGGCTGTCATAGCATTCTCCGAAACGCAGTGATAGAAAATGTCGGTTACTCTATGACTATGGTCGCATCGAATAACGTTATGGTTGCCAAATTGCCTGGAAGTCAAAGCGCCCGTAAAGCCAGGGTGGACAACGTTGATCCTCACATGACACGCAATTTATTGTACCATACATTCAGCAATATGACGGCAAATGTTCGGCGCTGACGCCTAAATTCTATATTTACAGGAATATTCGATGCGTTCCACCTGTCGAAGCTGGGGTAGACAATGTGACGCTTATAGCTGACGCCCAAATCCCATAATTGCAAAAATTTGCGAAGTGTTCCACTTGTCGAAGCTAAGGTGAAGGATGCTACATTTATCAGCAAGAGAAAGTGGCTTTCGTCAAACCGAGCACCACCTCTACACCCCGGCCGACGCAGCGAACGTTCGTCGCCAGCTCGAGGGTCGACCACGACGCTCTCAAAACACGCCGCGAGACGCAACGCGATACTGGCGCCCTTCAGCCCATCAAACGGCCGCCCTTCAACCCGTCAAACGGGCGCCCATCACGGAGCGAAGTTGGGCGACGGCCGGCGCTCGGGCGTGCAACAGGCCAGCCGCGCAACTTCGCCACATAATTGCTCGGCTATCAGACGAGAGCGGGCGAGCCTCGGCGGGACCTTGGCACGCTCGTCGGTCACACGGCCCCTGGCGGCGACCGCCGGCGAGGACCGCACCGGCCCTGTCATCGGCCGCCGAGGTCATTGTGTCAGGCCGCCGGACAATCGCCGGACGAGTAGCAAGGTCGCGCTGAAGGTCGCGCACACCGCAGGACTGATCGAACCTGCACGCGCGTGACAATCGGACGGGACTCATCGTTGGTGTTGTGAGGCACCGCTCTTCATGGATCGTTTAGAACGGCAGAAGCCAGGGCGGAAGTGAATTCATG